ACTTCAAACTGCTGTCATTTCTAAGCCACTCGTCCGACAGCTGTTAAAATTATACCAGTGACAGCTCATTATATTGCTTACAAGCGCACAAAAGCATTTTGGTGAGAATTTTCCGACGTCAAGGAAGTGGACGGAAGAAAACAGCAACATCACCAGAACTCAAGCACCGGCCATGGTGATGGTGTGGTCCGCCATAACAGGCGATGGTCGCTATCCGCTCGTATTAATCGACCGTGCCATCAGAATAAATGCCGAATATTATCGCGAAATATTCTGGAGGATGTATTAAAGCCTTGGGCACTCAAACATTTTGGCCGCAGACCTTGGACATTCCAACGAGAATGGTTACAAAATGAGGTTCCTTCATTCTTCATTTCCAGCGCACAGTGGCCACCGAAATCTTCGGATACCAATTTGTTGGACTATTGTGTCTGGAGTATTTTGGAAAGCAAGGTTGGCTCACCTCACCCGGAATGGTTCAAAATACCGCAAAGCAACATTCGGTCAGCGTATGACGGTTTCATTAGCCGTTTGTAGGCCATAATTAGTGCCAAAGGTGACCAATTCAATCCAATCTAAACATATTCTAAAATTGTATGCTATTTCCGACATTTTTTCTTCAATTCAAAAAAAAATTAAAAAATGTAAAAATTTTGGCGTTTGACTTTGTAGCAGTTTTTTATCTCACCTTATTTTGTGGGGTCTAAAATGTATATTTCGAAATAATATACCCTCCATAACATGGCGGAGTCTATGAAAACATTTCAAACATCTCAATATTAGTTATTTTTGTTCTATTCATTTTCCCATGCCTGGCGTTATTTTGCATAGTTATTTTACATTCCAATGAAATGGAGTAGCTGAGAGCAAGAGAGCGATTCTAGACTAGGGGTAATTGCCTCACGCCTATGACTGTGAATCAAAAAAATAATAAAACCAAGAACTGTTAATATGTGCCTCTCATAATAAACTAACGCCAGTCAGCCAGCCCACCCACTCACTTACAAACATATGCTCCCAGTTGTACAACATAAACAACTACGACAACAACAGCAACAACTTGTTAGTAGTCAGTTAGTCAACAACTTTTATTGTGTCCCGTGTTCATCATTGCTAAAGGCATCGTCATTCGTTTCGTTCTCTTGTTGTAGTTGTCGTTGTCTTTTGTTGCTTCTCGTTGTTGTAGGTATGTATTTATATTTGTTGTACAACAATGCGAATAGCTACGAACAATACAACTCTTAGTTTGTCTAAAAATAGTTTTTTCTTTTCTTTTATAATACATTTGAGAATTATAAAAGTCTATAAAAAAACATTGAATCTCTACAATCACACACTCACAGAGAGAGACATACATACGACACACACACACACTCTTGTGTATGTCCTCAGCGCATACTGGGCTTAAGAGCGAGCTCTAAGCACAGACATAGATTCATACAAATAATTGTATACCTATTTGACTATTCTTTAATAAAAAGGTAGTTGGAGGGGCGAGAGGGCGGAGAGAGGGCGGGAGACAAGATATTATTATTACAACAAAATACTAAATGTACAACAAAGCTCTTTTTATTTACCCAACAACTAGCTAGCTACCCCTGATAATAATTACGATGATGGTGGCAATGTTGCTGGCAATGTTCTTTTCGAACTAATGATGATGTTCATCGACGAAATGTGGGAATTCACACCAACAACATTGAATAGAAAAAATATGAAAAATAAAATGTAGAAATACCTAAATAAACGAAGAGACCGTTTTCAATCTTCCATTTATTTATTTATTTTAATTGCCTTGCTTTTCTGTTTTTTTTTTTTTTTTATTTTTCACATTTATGTGATTGCTTTCTTCACGCTCCACACAAAAAGCGCAATTAAATGTTAAATGTTTAGTGCGTTTATTTTAATTTATTAATGTCTGTTCTTATTGTATTCAATATTATTAAACCATCAGATAATCTAATTTAAAATAGCACAGTGAAATCAACTGAGGGGATTCGAAAGAGAGAGAGAGAGAGAAACGAATGGTTGTTTAACAAACCGAAGTTTTTAAGGTATTTTATAAGCAAAAGTTCTAAAATATATTGGAGGAGACCGCTGTTTTGTATCATTGGTGTGGAAAATAGATCATAGAGGATAACATTTTGGAGATACCACTTTTTGTGGGTTAAGCCAAAACTAATTTTACATTTTAAATTCTCAAGGCTAGATTACACATCATATTAGATACACGTAGTTCATTTTTTCAAAAAGAGAACGATAAAACGGCATTTGAAGATATCAATTGAAAGTTAAAAAAGACAAATATTTGTAAAGTGACCACAAGATATCAGCGCTAAATTTCTTTGAAATATCAATCATAATTTGAAGTATTTTAGTGTTTCTTTATTTTATTATATTGTTTTGTCGATTTATGTCAAACCTCAAGTAAAAAATCTGTAACTTCTTGAGTCCCAAGCATTTATTAAGTTATTCAACTCCTTGAACGATGTGAGATTTAGAGCCATACTTTTATTTCTCCTTGTGTTTGTTAATGTCTGCTTCATTTGTTTATCAATTACTTAAAATTTACTGGCGGAGAGAATAAACATCACTGTCTCTTCCCTCAGGCTGATTTAAGAGACTATTTTCTCAAATTTGCATAATTCCATAATTTGGATTATAATTTTAGGAGTTCGCCACAAACTTATATTTAAGTCCTCAGTATATTGTAAAAATAAATATATTACAATATAAATAATGTATAAATACTATATTAATATATTATACATCACACCATCACATGTATTATATTAAATTAAAAATTGTTGGGAACCCTTAGAAATATGCTATAAAAATGTGAAAAGCCCATATGACTCTAACATGATGTATAAGCTGGTCTTTAGGTCAGGACCAGGCAGAGAGTAGTATTTTTATTAAATTGTACTCTGATTAAATTGTATTTCAATAGTTTTGCTTGTGAGCGTGGAGAGAATTACGCTCAAAAGAGACTTCCACTCAAGAAACTTATAAAATTACCAGTCAAAAACGTAACTATATCGCCTGTTTCTCTAAGGCAATCGAAAGTCTTTTTTGTTTTATATTTTAATAAAATTTAGTTTGGGTCTCAGTAACTGTGTGTTTCTGACCGTGCCCGGACAAAATCCCCATTGCAATCATGTATTTTTTTTAGCCAAATCGGGCATAATCCGTTCCAAAAAGAACATAATCCCATGGACTAAACTGAGAGTTTGAAAAAAAGTTATAGAGTTTAAAACTATGGATCGGTTGGCCGATGCTGGACGTACACCAGAGGGAAATTCTCTAGCCCTCAACCGAAGTCTGACTACTTAAAAAATCTATAAAGTTTATATACATATTAGTGGAGAAAATCTCATGGTTTTTATCACTAATATTTAGGAAGTACACATTTAGCACCATTTTGGAAAGACTAGAAGGTAGGCTATAATGTAGTATGTAGATCCTAATAATGGATCCTTTTTTGACTTTTTAGGGGTTTTTCAAAAAGTATCGGTACAAAAATACCACTTTCAAACAAACTCATCATATGACCATCTGTTGGATAGGTATTACCATAAGCTTTCAATCCATGTTGTACCAGATAATCCCCGAATTTTCGGCCCGAATAACCGGGTATTTCTCGCACGAAAGAATTTCTATGCCCTAATCAGGTTGAAAACAAGTTAAAGTGTATCAGTCTGATTTGCCAACAGATGTATACCCTCAGCCAATGTTCGATTGTTTAAATTTATTTTGACTTCTGTCATGATTATTCAAATTATTCACATGGGCCATTTCGTATCGGACCTGAATAAATATGATTAAAATACTGCGATGTGCCAGATTTGGACTATATTGGTTTCTTCCTTAACTTCATATGAAGTGACATATCGTACATGTGATAATTTTTAGAAAATGTTAGAATTTCATACTTCATACTTCATCTAATGTGACTCTTTGTGCGTGAGGTGGCAGAAAGAAGTTCGCATTTACATATCATCTTCATAGGAGATCTTGTGTTCGCTAAATGTTTGGATGTTAAAATTTGAAGAGAGCTGGATGCTTATTTCGCTTTCTTTCAGCGTTTTATTTCTCAAAATCTTAAACCCTATGTGGGACAGGTACCAGAAGAAATGGTCCGATCTCTTCTATCTTTATAACATATCTTGTGTTAATGAAAATATTCAGATGTACCAAGTCTGAATGGAATCGAATGTTAATTTCGCGTTTTACGAGCTTCATGGATATTCAGAACTCGACCGATAATTCCCATCTTCGCAGCAGATCTTGTGTTTTTAACGAACTTGAAAAATAATAGTTTTTTGCACAAATTACACAGAGTGTCCAAGGTTAGGAGACTCCGTGTCTCACTCATTTTTAATTAAGTCTAGTTTCGCATCATAGTAGAGTTATATGTTAAGTTTATTACATACTTTTAGGAGCTTCACAAAAAAATTTACTAAAAAGGACCGTTTTATAGTTATATAGTATTATTTATTTCAAATGTTGTTTATATGGTTTAGCGAAATTTTTCAAAATCGTTGGGAGCGTTGCAAAAATTTCGAATATAAATATGAAAGATTTTGTTTAAGATATTATTCCAATATGATGCATAAATCTTAGCTTAAAAGAAAATCCGATAAATGACATTAAACGATAAATGAAAGCGCCGATATTGATTACACAATATATTTCTGCCTAAAAATAGACTGTACAATTTTAATTTTTCAGACAACCACTAATTCGCCCACTAAAAAATAGATGACACACTTTATAAGAAAGATGTAAAAATGATCCCCTTATTAAGTTCCTTCGGTTATCCCATTATATATATCCGTATAAATTTATAAAAAATCAAACATATGTTAAATACCAAGAATACTCTTGACCATTTCGAATCACATGCATTTTCTAAAAAAAAAAGTTATATCCTAGTCTCTTAGTTGGGATCTTTGAAAAAAAATATCCTGATCCTATCTTAAAAAATATCCAACACTTACCTTGCCCATAAAACCAGTTCCACCGGTTATGAATACACTACGGCCGGCATAGAATTGTGGTATCGACAGATACGTGTCTTTTGAACCGCTATAATTTTCGAAATTGTTTTTCGACGTAAAGTGTGTGCCGATGTGACCGTTCATCATGGCGGTGGAGGGGCCAACACCATTGCACGAACTCACGGCGCCCGCGGCGGCGATGGAGGTGGTGCTGTTGGTGTTGCTTGAATTTGAGGTGTTGCTGGTGGCGTTGTTGTTGGTATTGGTGTTCGAAGTATTCTCTGACATTTTGGTATGATTTGCAAATCACTGCTAGGTATGGATGGATGGATGGCTCTAGAGATGGATGGTATTGTGTTGTAAGAGTGTTTCGTTTGTTGGTTTTGTTATGTTTTCTTGCAGGATCAAATTGGGTTAGCAAAAAATATTTATTTAATTTAATTGCCTTTCGCGTCTAAGTAGTTTGAAAAATTATTAGTTTAATTGAATATTGTAATATGCACAACGCTTTAAACATTTACACAATATTTTTGTTTTAGACTTTTTAAAAAATATATAATTATTTTTTGTTTTAACAAATTTTAATGGATTTTATGTTAATTTTTTTTCTTTATTTTAATTGAATTAGGAAGAAGCGTTTTAAGTTTTAATTACAAAGAAATGTTGATGTATGTGCGTGCGTTTTGTTTTTTGTATTTAAAAAATATTATTTTTTTTTAATAATTTCTCTTTTGTAAAAAGCTTTGGAAGTTATTGGAAGCGGTTGATTTTGTTTTTTATGTTTTGCGATTTTTATTTTGTTCTATAAAAAATAATTAGTTAATTAATTAATTAATTAATATTTGCACTAGTTTAGTAATTTATTTTCGTATTTGGTTTTGTATTATTATTAGTTTGTTATTAAGTTATTTATTTATTTTAAATGTTTTATTACACCTCCACTGGGATTACTTGCGGTCATCAACTACTCAAAAACGTTGCTACTATTCCTGTTGACTTCGAGCTTTTATCCATTTTCGTAAACAATAATTTCAATCGAATTGTTTTAAAATAATCGGGCTTTTAGATCTGGAAAGAGAAAAATGAAAAAAAAATGTTAATTATTTCCAGAAATTTTAAATAAATTTAAAAACTACGATTTTAATATGAGAAAGGTAAGACATAATTGGCTACATCAGCTCTTGATCCTTTTTTTGCTGTTTTCTCTTCAATTATTTATTTAACCTAAAAAAATCCTTTCCTTCCATCCATTCCCAGGAAACATGCAAACCCATCTCCTTCCCTGAAATCATGTGGTTGGCTGCATAAAATATTACCTCTGAATTTATAAAATACCCTTTGCCGGGACTTGATTTTCTTGACGTCACACATCCCTGCTGTCAGGCATGTAATGCGAATTTCTCTTAAAAGTGGTAAAATTGACAATAATGATTTCTTGTTGTTGTTGTTGCCATTTAATGCGTAAAATATTATTAATATTTAATAACGAAAATGATAAAAATATCCATTCAGTTTTTCTCGAATAACCAGCCGACGAAACGAAATTCAGACTTTCCTGTTGTATTTATGCGTCCTCAACATGCAAGGTTTTGCACGTGTGACGTCACAGTAATAAAATCATGTCAATCAGACAAAAAGAACAACAGTAACAACAAAGGAATAAATAAACAATTCCTTTCATAATAATAATGGGGTTTTGGGCATTGTTGATGAGTTTTGGGTTGGATATGTTCTGAGGCAGGCACGTAAAAGCTGCAAGAAAACAAATGAACCTTTTCACTGAGTGGTAGTGGGAGGAGAGGAGATGACTTGTCTGTTTGAAATATTTAAATTTCAATAATTTCCAGTTTCACATGACTTGACTCAACAAATGAAATGGTAGACTCATTCTGGAAATTTTTAGTCTGAGGGGAAGATTTTATTGACGGTTTGTCAGTTACTTCGTCAGCGAAAATGGTGAATATTTATACAAATTGTATTATATGTAAGGAAGTGCAGCATTGACTGATAATTCAGTTATATAAGTTTGTCATTCCGATTGTAAGAATCGAATGATTTGTGGGTGTATAGGGTAAAGTTCGTATAGATGTTAAAAGTATTTGAAAATACTACTTGGAAGGATATGCTTACTTTTGTAGTCCTGTGTTGGCATAACGGGTTTTTTGGAAATTTAATATGCGAGACGTGGTAAAGGCCAGTTTACACATTACGTTAGAATCATATGTAAAGAGGCTTGTTTAAGATTTTTATTGCATACTTTCAGGCGCTCCATACACACACTTGTTAAATCAAAAAGAAACGCTGCTAATATAACAATGTATACAATGCAATTCTATATTTTATACGTTATATGGGGTCCGCCATATCACCTTTTTTTAACTAGTACTCATTTCGAAAATAGCATCACTTACTTCAATTCTGATTTAAAAAAATAACCTTAGGGTAAAGAAAAATTAGAACCCATTATGGCCAAAAAATACCAATTTTTAGAAATATTCGTTGGAAAATGTGGCAACAACCATCAAAATATCGGGAGGTACCGCTATATGGGGCTATACAAAAACGTGAACCTATACATACAATATTTCGGCAACGGAGCTACAGCCCATTAGGAAACAAAAATGCCAATTTTTAGACAAATCCGCGAAGAAATGTAGCAAAAATCATCAAAATACCGAATATCTGGAGGTACCGTTATATGGGAGCTGTACCAAAACGTGGACCTATACATACAATCTTTCGCCACCGCAGCCCAATTTTCAGACAAATCCGTGACAAAATGTGGCAAAAATCAATAACAAAAATACCGAATATCGGGAAGCACCGTTATATGGGGACTATACCAAAACGAGGACCGATATATCTCATTTTCAATACCAACCATCCTAGACACAATACAAATTATTCTGCAAAATTTTGACGCTCTACGTCAAATAATGTGGGCTGTATCGTGATTTCAACAGACAGACAGACAGATGGACAGACAGACAGACGGATGGACAAACAGACGGACATTAAATTGACTTAGAAGTTTTGTAAGCAAGCATTTGGGGCACAGAAAACCCCCACGCATACGTTGAGAATCCGATTCACCTAAAACGAGCCACTGTTTGAAGAGCATTTTGACCTCTAGATTGGCCCATTTTTCTTCGGAAATGAGCAAGGAATGGCTGCTACGTTGAGGGATTGAAAAGAAGAATATTGAAAACCTTTTAATAGGACAACGCTATGTGCCACGCAGCCAAACCATTATGGATTTGACACCGTTGGATTATTATTTGTGGGGTGCCTTTACAGATAAGTACTATATCGACGAGCCAGAGACAGTTGACGCTTCAAGGGACAATATCAGAGAAGCCATTGGTGAAATACAGCTGCACACAGTCGATAATGTGTCTAAAATTAGACCGATCGTGTAGGCTACTGCATGGCCAACTGAGACAGCCATTTGAATGAAATTAATTTCCATTTTTAATCGGATGGATTGTAGTTTCAAATAACAAAATAGAAAACTTTTCCAAATTCTGAATAATACACTCTTAAAATATTCCCTACACTAATGTTAAAAATTTAATCTCTTTTTCTACACTCTATACCCGAATTGAGTACAGTTAGTATTTTTTGTCCACCATTTACACATTTCCAAATACACTTCTTTATCTAAAAGAAACGTTATCACACTCCTAATACCTAAATTCATACTTCCAATTCTATTCCTACATTCTATGCCAAATTTACTACCATCTGGTACGATTGATACACTCAAGTACACATTTCCAAAGCCACCTACATATAACAGCTTTAGTTCCCATATAATATTTAACTTTTTTAATTTAATTTCATCTGTTGAAACCCTTCTTGGTACCAAACTAGCAGATTTAAGTACTTTTCGTACACTCAAAATTCGAATTTCCTAAAAATCCTTTGGTACATCTATATTAATGGTACATATCATAATTAGAACCTTTTGTACGAAAAGTACCCTTTGAGGACGTACTTAAAAAAAACAGCACCTCCGCCCCAAGGCCGACACTCACCGAAATATTAAGGTTCTAGCTTCCGGCGTTTCGTTTCGTTTAAAAGAGTTTTAAATATTTTTGGCAGAAACTCTGATTTAATATTTGAGAAAATCGGACGCTAATTTCACATATTTTGAGATAAATTAATCTTAAAATGTTGGATGCATAATTTCCTCTGATGATGTAGAAGGTCGAAGAAGGAGTATACCGATATGGCTTTAAAAATCCCAAAAGGAGATTCGTGGATAAAACATTCGGATCTAATACTTTCAATACTCACAAGGCTGAGGGTATAATTAATTGGAATGAAGAACTACGTTTCTTCAAAACTATATACCAAATTTGGTTTTGGTTTTACATTAATAATATTTTGGTTTGATAATCTTCAAGTTATAAATTAATTAATCTTATAAATGTTTAAAGCCTCAGCACCTATGCGCCCTGTATATTTAAATGACGTGTTTCTAAATTTAATTTCTAATAACGCTATTGTTGTTGTTTTTGCTTTTTAATTAAAATTTTCAATTATCACAAGATAAATATTGACACAAAAAATGAAAAATGTTAAAAATTTTAAATACTACTACTACTTCCGTTATTGCATTGTCACGACTTAAGTGTTTTTGTAAAGCAGTGTTCTTTGTTGGAAGTGAATACGCAAAAGATTTGATCAGACTACACAACAATTAATTACACAAACACTAACAAAAAATATACAAATCTACGTTATTATATAAATTAATTAAGAAGGATGCCAAAATGTTTTTTTTCAATGAGAATGTGAAAGAAAATATTTTCGTTTTTCTCTTTTAGGCCAGATATTGCCCTCGGGAAGATGTACTTTTGACATTTTCGACATTTTAAAAACAGTTCAACAATTTCTAAGAGAATACGATTTAAAACCTTAATAATTTTGAAATCTTAATAAAAATAACATTCCCGCAAGAAATGTCCATGTCTAGGTTCTAGAATGATACTTAAAGACTAGGGCCATTTCTAAATACTGCTTTAGTATTTTTGCAGATATTGGCAGCCTTTAATTTTCAGTATTTTACATCAACTGTGACCCGAATATCTATTTTCCATATTTCAGAATTTGAGTTATTTGCATAAAATTTGTGTATTCCAAAATAATGAATTTAAGAATTACGAACTCTGAACATTTTCCAACGAATTTCTCAAAATTAGCAATTTAATATTATTTATATACTATATATTTTATATACTCTACACAACATTGTGAAAGGGTTTCATTGACCAATAAAAAAAATGATAGACCAATAGTTCCCTCTGATAGAATACCATTCTGTGTTGATTTTTATATATCCGTCCGTCTGTCCGTCCATGTATTTTTTGTAAGCAATGATGAAACTTTGCACAGTTCGCTGGTTTGTTCCAAGGACGAAGTCTACTGAAATTGGTGATAATTTAGAGCTCCAATAAATATCTCCACCCGATTTTCGCTCACTGTGCACCAAATGTGTAATATCCGAATAGGATGCATTTTGACACATACATCCCAATTTAGTCTTGAACAAATTTGGTGAACATCGGCTCAGCAATTATAAGAACTATAGCAACTATATCATATATATGTTTCATCCCATTTGATATTTAAATTTAAGCCTTTTCAAAGTCATAACATCTATATCTAAAAATTCCTTCGCGAAATTTAGTCTAGTCCGACAGCTGTTAAAATTATTCCTGTGACAGCCCATTATATTGTTTACAAGCGTACAAAAGCATTTTAGTGAGGATTTTCCAGAAAAAAAGTTATTCGTGATGGGATTCAAGCGTGATAGTGTGATTTCTTTATATTTCGCTGGAAAACCAGAAGTGGTTATCGTTAGAGCACTCCAGCATTTAAATGTGAAAAAAAAAAATCTGTGTCTCGTACCATCTCTCGTTACCGTGATACTGGTAGCGTAGCCCGACGTCAAGGAAGTGGACATTTCGTCACGGCACGAAAACAGCAACATCAGCAGAAATGGTTCGAAAAGTAAAGAAGCGACTCGATCGAAACCCGCCACGCATTGGCCGAAAAATGGC